TGCAGCGGAGAGATCCACAAAAGTATCTTTAAATTATAGAGATGTAAGTGGGAACATAATCACACCCTGGTGCAGCAGAAATTCCCAGATTTGCACATCCCAGTCAAGAAATGTTTCCTGTGCATTCAGCTAGTGCCATAGATGGGTACTTGTCAGTCATGTGTAAGTTCAGTGGAAAATACTGAATCATAGAATTAGAGAAGAAAAAACAGGCAGGGTCTGATTAGAGTCCATCTCCGGTACCTGCCATGTAGGGTCTCTCCCCACTGCGTATTCTTCAGCATTTGGTCTGATCTGCTTTTAAATGACTCGTACCATGTGGCTTCCAATGTGTCATGTGGGAGGGTATGAATGTAGGAATTGCAATATAAACTGCGGGCTTGTATTCACTTAAAACACTACAGTGGCACACCTGCAGCGCTTCAGTGTAATGCACAGATAATCCACCTCAAAGAGAGTCAGTAGCTAGTTCAATGGCAGTATTTTCCCACTGACCCAATGCCGTCTACATGGGGACTTAGGGCAAGTCTACACTGCCATGCTACATGGGTGCAGCTGCACTGCTGTGGTGTGGTTGGTGAAGACATGCTATGCTAACAGGAGGGCACTCTCCCCTCAGAAGTTATGTTTCCTGCCAACTTAGTGCTTGTGTGGACAGCACAAAGGTCCATGTGACTTACACCACTCAGCTGATGGCTTTTTCACACCTCTAAGTGACATAAGTTACATTAACTAAAGCAGCAGTATAGACAAGCCCGTAGGATGATCTGTCAATGCCATTTGGGTGTGGATTTTTCAGACCTCTGACCAGTGTAGGTAAACTGACCTAATTATCTAGCAAAACAATTAGTAGTCCTGAAATAGTATCATAAGCTTTCATGGTAAAACCCACTTCCTCAGATGAGTTGGTTTTGTCTACAAAAGCTGATAGATAGATAGATAGAGTTGGTCTCTAAGGGTACATTTACACAGCAAACCAGGGAGATGGGGAGCAAAGCCTCGGAGGACGCCGGCAGCGGGACAGCCGCGGCGCGTCTGGGCTGTCCCGCTGCCCGCGTGCTCCGCGGCTTTGCTCAGCGTCTCCCTGGTCTGCTGGGGGGGGGCTCCCCCCCCAGCAGACCAGGGAGACGCGGAGCAGCTTTTCTCGCCCCGGAGGACACGGGCGGCGGGACCGCGGCGCATCTGGGCGTCCTGCCGCTCCCGTCCTCCGGGGCGAGAAAAACCCTGTTCGTAACTGCGGATCCGACATAAGGCGGATCCACGTAACTCGGGGACTGCCTGTACTATTTTTAGGGATGTGTAGGTGGGTGCACTGTTTGGTAGCTAGAAGAGGGGACTAGAAGTCAAGACTCTTGGGTCTTGTTCTTGGAGCTGCCACTGAATGACCTTAGGCAACCCCCTGATCATCTCTTTGCCATAACTCACCTTTATGTTAAAAGAGGAGAACAGCACTTACCTGCTTCAGAAGGATGTTATGAGGCTTCAAATAAAGTCAAGGAAAATGCTTTAAGCTCAGTGGATACTTTAAGTGGAAAATGCTTTAAGCTCAGAGGCACACAGCATTGTTATTGTCATTAGAGGCTTAGCTTGGTTAAAGAAGCTATAGAGATTGCAAGCAATTATTCTGTAGGAATAAAAATTATATTTGTTCGTGTTATGTCTCTGCCTGGCAACGGGCCCTTGCTCTTCCAAGCAATGTAGAAAATGTTCACTATTTGCCCTAGTTTTCACCAGTTACAACCAGTGGAAAAATTAGCAGATTCAGCTCATTCCATTTTTGTGAAAAATGTGAGCTGTCAAATGCTTCCGTTTTAACCCACTATCCCATACGGACCATGTTCTTCTCTGCCAAGATCAGAAACGGGCAGGCTGAGTCACAGGCCAGAATGTAATGTTACCAGTTCAGGCCGGAGTGGTAAGTTCTTCTGAACATAGGTTCCTTAGCCATTCACCTTCTGTTTTGATAAATAGCCTGCATTTTTGCATGAGCGAGCATAATTGAAACCCTTACAAAAATATCGACAGTTTACCTGCTGGGTTACGATGCTTTGAGCATCCTAATTAGGGATGTGAATGGGTAACCGGTCTCCCATTAAGCATCACCCTTACCAGGTCATGCTTACTGGGTAATGGTGAACCATTTCACTGGGAGCAGCACCCCCGCCCACAGCCTGGCAGAGGCATAGCTCTGCCCTAGGCCACCAGCCGGCAGCTTGCCCCGTGTAGTTTGGGCTAGGAGCTGACACTGGCATCCAGCCCTGTGTAGTCCTGGGAGCGGGAGCCAGCAGACATTCCTGTGTGGGGCTAGGAGCTGGAGCAGTCCTCCGTCCGGGATTCTGCTTAGTCCGTTAACCAGTTAAATACTGGGTTAATCTAGCATTTAACCAGTTAACTGATTAATTGGGATTTTACATTCCTAACCCTAATTGTCTTGAAGTAGAATGCATATCATGTACTCTGCTGCTTATTGTTGCTGGCTGTCTGCAGGGTCAGGAAGACCTCGCAGCATCAGTTTACATGCCATTCATTTTTTTAAGTGTTCGTTTCTGAGCAGCGAGAGCTGCTTTTTTTTTTTTTTTTTTTTTAAGTGAAGGTCCAGAATATATTTCTGTGGCAAAGCAGCACATTTTTGTTTAACAGTTATAAAAAGAGGAACCTAGGCAAGACTCAGTGCATCCCTAACCCAAGGTACCCCTAAAAGATTAAACAACAGTGGCTAATTCAAATCAGATGCGGTTTACAAACCCCTCAAGGCTGAGGGAATTGGGAGTAGAGGTGGGGTTGGGCTCGCCCCTTTGAGACCGGAATTTGGATACAAATCTGTGCACTGGGTTAGATGGTGAATCATCCTCACATCCTACATTGAAAGTTCTGTGGGGAAAGGTGTTTGGGCCCATGCCTATTTAAATAGCAAGCAGTGACCAAAAAATGTTTGGGCCTGTACAGTTATGGGAACTCAAATCTGCAGTCCTAGTTCAGGGAAAATACCCACTGAGTTATGAGTCTGCATTTCAGAACTATGACTTACGTATACAAGAAATACTTCACCCATCAGTAAAATGCAGGTACCTGTAGGGTAGAAGGGAACAATCAATTGGTACCAATCACACAGCACAACAGTATGGCTATGTCTAGACTGCAGGCTTCTTTCGAAAGAGGCTCTTTCGAAAGCATCTTTCGAAAGTGCTTCTTTCAAAAGATCGCGTCTAGACTGCAGGCGGATCTTTCGAAAGAGAAATCCGCTTTTTCAAAAGAGAGCACCCAGCGAGTCTAGATGCTCTCTTTCGAAGACGGCCTCTTTACATTGAAGAACGCCTTCTTTCGAAAGAGGAACTTTCGAAAGAAGGCGTTCTTCCTCGTGAAACGAGGTTTACCGCCATCGAAAGAAAAGCCGCGTTCTTTCGAAATAATTTCGAAAGAACGCGGCTTGAGTCTGGACGCAGGGGAAGTTTTTTCGGGAAAAGGCTACTTTTCCCGAAAAAAACCCTGAGTCTGGACATGGCCTATGAGGGGACACATTATCAGACAAGTCCTTAGTCTTATTAAAAAATTTTAAAAAGCAGGAGAGTTTTAATTTCAGCACAGAACATATAACGGTGTTGTTATTTAAAGTCCTGTTTGGTAGACAAAACCAGTTTATCTGTTTCTGAAAGATGAAGTGGTGAATCAACGTAGCTAGGATTTGAAACTCTAGGTCCAGAGCACTTGGAGTTTAAAATCTGGTCCCTAGAGACCACATCTGCGTCCACAACATTGAGCCGCGGATATCTCCATCCACATTCGAGGATGCGGATACCAATGGATGTAAAGTGGATATCCACAATATGTAGGGTTCTAGATGCAAGATTTGAATCCACATCCGCATTCATATCCACAAAAATGAACCACGGATATCCCCAGCTGTTGGTGTATAAAACTGATATCTGCGGATTTGCAAAGCTCTACTGATCCCTGTTATATTTGATGAAGAAATAATAAACCTGAAATTGAGGATAGGCAGTACCTACTTAATGGCAAAGTGCAGCCTTCACATGGAATTCTTAAGTGCTTCCAGACTAGCTCTGAAAGTGCAGGTCCCACTGGTTGGTAGTATCTTTTAAAAAAAATCTCCAAATATTTTTAACATCAGCGCCTTGTTCTTAGCTAATGCTGGAAGCCTTTCCTTAAAAACAATCCTTCAAGGAGTTGGTTTCCATGTAGCATATGAAAGGAGATAGGACTCTATCCAATTGAGCAAGTCTCTTCTCTTGCAAATGATATGGGGTGTTTTTACATGACTGAATCTTGCAAATGAAGTCTTCAGGGAAATGATCAGCTGCTTGTAGGACTTGAAGATAGGAGAGCGTGCAGCATGATTGCTACCCACAAAAGAAGGAGCTTTGTCTGCAATTGTGGGCTCAGCTTAGTAGCAAATTATAATCTACAGAGGGTGGAAAGAAGTGGGGGGAGAGAAAGCAAAGCAGCCAATGTAACTGAGATGAGGTTATTATTTTTAACAAGTTTCCTTCCATGGAATTTAATTTGATTTCTAATGTGCCCTGTGAATGGTAGTCTATGAACAATTGCTTGTATCCATTTCTCTGCGACGTGCAAGATGGACAGAGACTCTTATGCCATGATTTTGATGTCAGACTTGCAGGACCTCTCTCACACGCTGCAGAACTGTTAAGAGCATCTCTGGGGAAAAGGGCGGGGGGAGACATGGATTTATTGCTGTGCAGAGCCACCAGCCGTTTGCTGATGCAGTTGCAGATGTAAATAGAGGCTTTGCTGACACTCAGTGACCTGAATTGGTGTGGGGAATTTGTCTTACCCTGAATCATTATGAACGCCTGGGAACTTAGCCCTGCTGTGAGTTGGGTTTGTCCAAGTGCATGGAAAACAGGCGCAGGAGCTGCCTAGACACGTCATCTACAAAATATTAGGGTGTTTTTTTAAAGAAACTGCTAACTTGACAATCTCCCTTTCTCACAGCCTGTTCGTATTTTTCCTTCTTTCAGGAGGAATGCCAGAACTATGTCCGAGTGTTGATTGTTTATGGCAAGAAGGTTTTTACCTGCGGTACCAATGCCTTTTCCCCAGTGTGTTCCAGTAGACAGGTCTGTCATTGTCTTTCTCTTTTGGAAGGGGTGGGATGGTGGGGAGATATGAGGGTATGTTCCGGTGAAAGAGACTGGCTTTGAGGTGAAGATGGTAGTATTCCCTATTGCAGAATAAATACTGAAGATAATTCAGCTGATCTGAAATTGTGTGGGGTATTTTTGTTGTGGTTCCTCCTGCCAACCCGTAAGGTTGACAGGTGTCCGTATTTTGACAGGAGTCCGGTATTTTCGCCTCTTGTCTGTTAAAAAAAAATTCAGAAAATACCACACACCTAAAATGTTCGGTACTTTCTGATTTATTATTTATTTATTTATTTTCCTGGCCAGGAGGCAAAAATCCTGGGTGCTCAATGGGTTCCGCAGGGGAGCTGTCTGGCCTGGTGCAGGGAGGCAAGATGTTGGGCGGCTGCTGGCAGAGCCTGTTAGGGCCAAAAAGCCTCAAAAGTGTTTCTTAAAGGGGCCCCCCCCCCCCCCCTTTTTTTTTTCCTTTTCCTTAACAACTTTCGGGGTCCTTTTTTTTTTGGTATTTTTTCAGAAACTATCTGGCAGCCCTACTCACCCACCTTGCTGGGAAATGAGAGCAATGGTGTACAGGCAGTCCCCGGGTTACGTACAAGATAGGGACTGTAGGTTTGTTATTAAGTTGAATCTGTATGTAAGTCGGAACTGGCGTCCAGATTCAGCCGCTGCTGAAACTGACCAGCGGCCGACTACAGGAAGCCCGAGGCAGAGTTGCTGTGCCCCAGGCTTCCTGGAATCAGCCGTTGATCAGGTTCAGGAGCAGCCTGCGTGT